CCTTCTAGCTTATCCCAGAGAGAGAGCAACTTACTCTATGAGAAAACTGCCTTGTTAAGACTTGCAGGCATTGCTTTAATTCACCAAGCTCAGCACAGAGCAAGCTTTATTGCTTGCTTGCTTGTTTTGCTTTGTGATTAGTATTCTAAATTTGGCATAAGGATTTAATTTCAGAAAAGTGCTTTTCTTAAAGAGTTACTTGTACTATGGTGATATTATTCATTATTATCAAGATTTTGATCTTGAATGCATGAAAACTGTATTCATAATTGCCTACAGCTCAAAAAGTTAGACCTAAGTTTTTAAAACTATTTTTTTAAATGAAAAACACCACTCTAAGATTCAATTCATTTTTCTTTATTTTAATTGGTAAAAGAAATTGAAATACAAAGATGAGCATTTGCAACTGCAATAACTTGGTTTCGACAATCACAGGAGCCCATATATGAGAAGAGCTGAAAAGTTACTCTCTGATAACGTATTTCCTATAAGTGCCAGGTTGTTTGTGCAATTTCTACAGTATCTAATGAGGTGCTATATTATGCTTCTCTCTTCCCATCTTTCTAAATTGCACACCTTGTGGTTGTTTTATTCTGTGGTAACTGAAGCACAAGCAGCAATCTAGCTGTCATAGATTTCCAATGAATATATCCGATGATTACCTCTTGACATAAGATTTAGTGAGATGAAGGAGAAACTGTTTGACACATCTTCACATATCCATACAAATGATATACTGTTACACTGTAATAATGTACATAAAAGTATAGAGAAAATATAAATGAGTTGAAATCTAATTTTTATTTATTTATTCATCAGAGTTATATGGCTACCCATCTCGCATAAAAGTGACATAAAAGCAACTCTAGGGGGTACAACAAGAGTATAAAACAGTTAATATATTAAAACAATTATGAGAAACAATATTTTTAAAATCAGAATAACTAAGAAAGAAGGGCAGATATTAATAACAATGGAGGTCAGCCTTACCTCACCAGTGCCCTGGATCCCCAGCCCTGATGGCATAACCAGGTTTTGAGGGACTTCCAGAAAATCAATAGGGATGGAGCCAGCCTCACTTTTGGGGATGGAAATGAGATTACATAAAGTGGACATCACAGCAGAGAAAGCCTGACTCCTGGAACCCACCAAATGTAGCTCCTTAGCCTGTCCAGGAATCCATAGCCACCCTGTTCTACAGGATCTGTTGGGATAGGCAGATATGATCGGGGGGCAGGCGGTCCTTCCAATAACCTGACCCCAGGGCATGCAGGGTTTTAAAGGTCAAATCAGCACTTTGGATCTGGAAGCAGAATGGCAACCAATATAGCTTGTGGAACAGATATAATATGTATTGTTCTAGAGCATGGGTGTCAAACTCGCCACATCTCGTGCCGTATCGTGATGTATCGTGACTTTTTTCGCATTGCTGGAGCTGGGGTAGGTGTGGCCTCCACATGATGCAACTGTCCTATGGGTGGGCAGTTTGACACCCCTGTTCTAGAGGCATAGATAACTGCCTGCATTACTACATTTTGCACCAGTTGAGGTTTCCAGGGAAGCTCTACGTATAACCTTAGAGTACAGTAGGTTACCAGGTAATGAATAACTGTAATCTAGGAATGGGTGCAAATGGCACACACAATTCAAAGTTGTGCAAAGGCCCTCCTAGCCATGACTACTACCTGCTCATCAAGCAGGAGTCATGAGTCTAGGAGGACTCCTAAGTTGCAGTGCAACTCTATCTAGCACAAAAGATGACATTGTCCTAGAACTAGACGGCCCCAAAACTCAAAGCCTCTCAGTCGTGCCAGGGTTTAGCTAAAGGCTGTTGTTCTCCATCCAGACCCTGACAGCCTCCAGGTACCAAGATAAGACATCCACCATATTGTTTAATTTACCAGGAGCAGAGATGTGTAATTGGATACCATCAGCTTCTAATGATATCTCACACCATGACAACAGATGAGCTCACCCAGCAGTCTCAGGTGCTTTTTCAAGAGGCAACTGGACTTTCTTGTTTTTCTTTAAAGATATTTCACTTCTCATCCAAGAAGCTTCTTCGCCTCTGACTGGATGGTGGGGAATGGAAGGATTTATATTCCTTGCAGACAGCTGGTCATTTACATTCTTTTAGAGAGTCACTGACATCACTTGAAGGTTTATCTGTGTCATCAGGGTCACCTGAGTAGTGGGTGCAAATGGATGTGGAGCCTTCTTGGAACAGCTGAAAGGATTATGTTGTAGATTGGAGATAGATGATGTCATATCTCTCACCCTCTTTTGATCTAGATGGTCGCTTTGACCCATCTTTCAAACCAGCGGTTCTCTCCATCCAAAAGGTGGACTTTGCTGTCTTCAAAAGAGTGGCCTTTTTTTTAAAGACAGCAAAATCCACATTTTGGACAGAGAGGACTATTGGTTTGAAAGAGGGGTTAAGTTAAGGATGAATTTTTCTTTGGTATAGTTTAAGAATTGACTCAAACATATCTGCTCACTTTGTCTTTTAGCTGACCATATGATTTTAATTTTTGGTTTGCTTTTGTTTTCATAATGCTCCCAGGACAACTTGAAATTGGGCAGCATAGATATTTAAATATATTAAACAAGCACACTAATAACCATTGTGAGTTTTGAACCTTGATTTTATGATAATTGCTAACCTTTTGTGTTTCAACAAGATCATAGGTAGTCAAATTACATTTGTTTTAGTTTTGAAGCCAACATGATTTGAGCTTTACAATGTTTCATCATCCCACAGATCTTTGCTTGTATTTAATTTATAACTAATGTTTCCTTTTAATATGGCTGGATTATCTGAGAACTTGCCTCAGAGCACTGTATGTTTATCAAAGGCTAGAGATTCATTCATGGCCTCCCAAACTTCTAATGAGCTAGTTTCACTGTTTCTGGTTTATTCCTTTCTCTTTTCATTACTTAGAAAAAATATGCGAGAAACAAAAATGTAGATCTTTCTCTGCTGGATCAAAAATATTAGTCTAATTGGTAGAAGTACTGTAAAAGCAGTTGACTCTTTTTCATTACAGAATGCAGATTAACTTGAATGTAGCTTAAGGTAATTTTGGGCCTAAATTTACAAACTGCATGCTGTCTTCTGTATATATTTTATTTTTATTTTTTTAGGGTTTTTGTTGTTGTTTTCATGACACCCATCTCTGATTCTGATATTTCCATGTATTTCATTGACTGGTCTAGCACAGCCAGTGACTTCTTTCCTTTGAATAGTTGGAGACTTTAAATTCATAATAATCTTTAAATACTGATCTCTGTCATTGAAGCAATAATTTTAACTGTCAGAGCACATTATCAAGTCTTCTAAAAGAAATACTCTAAACAAACAGATGTCAAGCATTTAGTACTAATTTTTTTTTCCAAATATCAGTGGGAATCTCTCTCATTATAGTATGCTAAGTGTTCAAATTCTACTGATTATAATCTGCTTTTAGATTTTTAATACTGACACAAACAACATTTACTCAAGTTACAGTATTATTTATTAGTCTTGATGAAATTGGGAGATTTATTTTTACATAGATATATATAAGATTATACTGTTGAAACTGTACAATATAGGTGATCCTCATTTAACCACTGATCTCTTAATGGCTGCTCACTTCCATGACTGTTCAAAGTTATGATAGACTCTCAAAAGGTACTTATGATCCAATTTCAAAGTTTCCATGGCCATACACATTTGGGCACATGATTGTATTTTGGGCTCTTGGCAACTGGCATGCATTTCTGACTATCTGTAGCAGCCTGCAACCACCTGAGTGTGATTGTTGATGTTTTTTGCTGGTTTCTGGTGTTTACTTCCAGTTTGTGGTAAGAAATGCTCATTGGATAAAATGGGTTTGCTTAACAACCATGGTGTTTCACTTAACAGTCATGGTGTTTGCTCAATGATTGCCCAAAAAATATCATAAAACATCAGGAGACTCTCTGGCATCATTGCCCAGTTTTAACTGAGTGGGTGGGCATGCTACCATTCAAACCCTTAGACTGGATTGCACAGCCTCTCACTGTTACTTTCCAATATATGCATGAGGCCTGTGTGCATGGCGCAGAAACTTTCTTGGGAATACAGAGGCTGACAGCTCTGCTGCATGCCAATCTTCTATTTACAATTCTTTTTTTCTTTCAGTTTGAAACTGTATTTTGAAAAGAGGGTAAGGTGGGACTAGGAGACTGGCAGATGCCAAATATATAAGCCTGAGTACTGTTATGCACACAAGCTAGTTTATACTATTATGATCACTAACTTTTAACCATACAGAGTATATGTTAGTAGTCAACTATGCTGTTAACCCAGTATGATCTGTGGAGAAAGAATATACAATGTACAGCATGCAATTTATATTTAATTTACAAATCCAATAAATTCTTTTGCTCCTATTCCCATGGAAACAAATGCTTGTCTTTTAAAAAAAAGCCCAACCCTTTCATTTTTGGCAAACCACAGATATTTAGTATGGCTATAATTTACCTCTATTTTCACCAATCTATGAGTTCCGCGCTGCGGAAGAGCTAGCTTTGGAAACTGCAGAGAGTCTTTTGTTCAGCTAGTGCATCACATCCCTGTCTCAGTGTCACAGTGAAGCATGAGCTTTCTGTGAGAGCTACACAGCAGCTGGAAACAATGAAATCTGCCTTCTTAGCTACATGCAACTATCCTGATTGTATTTCAGCTTAATAAGCTGCCGTCCAAACATTTCCCTGCCACACACAGTGCACTCTTTCGCTCTCCCTTTTTTCTTTTAATAATCTGACTCTTAAATCTTTGGGTTGGAGGTGTTTCCATGGCACTAACTGTTATCCATCCCTACACAAAGCTTCCCCCTTTCCACACCCAGCTATCAGTGAAGGCAAAGAAGGCTCACTTCTCTGCATGTGCATGTTATCTGTTGAAAAGGACCAGCTCCTCAAAGTCATTTTCTCTTTTCCCCCTTCCTGTGTGTCAAGTGTCTAATATAACACCGGCATGGCTCTTAAATGACAGCTCTTGTTTGTCAGCGCAGAGCCAGGCATCGAGAAAACATCAGTCGTGCACTACACACTTGGATTTTGTATCGTGACTGAGATGATTGTCTTCCCATGTGATTCAGCTTTTTATTTGCTACTGTCCTCCTTTCTCCCTCTTTTATATTTTGAGCTGGCATTTCTCTTCATGGTAAGGTAAGCTGATTTAAATAAATTGTTAAGGACCTATTGCCTCAATTTCAATGGCAGTAACATTTAATGATATGCTTTATCTGAAATGAGATAGTTGCTTGTAAAGGCAAGGACTAGAATAATCTTTAGCATCGATTCAAACATAAGATTTTTTTTTTTTTGCAAACAAGGCTCTCCGAGTTTCCCCCACTTGTGTGGCCTAAATTTCAAGATGCTGCAGAATTGGACATTGGCGTCTGACTTCTTTAGAATAGAATGTGATTAAACAGATTTCTAATTTTACAAACCTGGCACAATATATAAAATGGAATTTGAGGAAGCCATTAAGGTGCCTTTACCAATAATTTTTTTATTTTCTTTTTCTATGTTTGTGTCCATTATGGGTAAAGTAGAAATTAGGTTAGACCACTTAGAAATAATTGTTGAAATTTCTTATAGATGAATGCCTAACCATTTTGTTCTGACAATGAGCAAACTCATCACAGGAATTTATGGAGAAGATGCTAAAGCACATGCCTGTTCAGCTTTTAGATAGGGAACTATGGTGTGTACTTTTATATATGCACATAGGATAGATCAAATTTATATTGTACATGATAAATATAATGGAAATACAAATACACAGAAATATAGCTCCTGATAAATTTTGAACTGTAAAATGGAGGGATCTATTAAAGCTAATGTGTTCCCTCGTCCCCTCTTTTTTTTCTGTCAGGGCTCAGTGAGGAATAAAGGTTAAAGTCCTAGATTCTATCAATTGTTAGATCCTAGAGTGGACTCATATAAGGGAAGCTCACTTTTATATCCTAATAAGAATTTAGTGAAACAATTGTTCAACTACTTAATATGCTAAGTCAGTGATGGCGAGCCTTTTAGAGACTGAGTGCCCAAACTGAAACCCAAAACCCACTTATGCATCGTCGGGTGCCGGGTGGGTGTGGCCCATTGGTTGGGCGTGGCCCATTGGCTGCGGTGGTAACGGCAGACTGGGTGGGACTAAAAAGTTCAATCAATCAATTCCAACTTTGCAAGATCTTTCCCCCCCCCCCCAGGAAAAGTTGAAATTGACTGATTGAACCTTTTTTTTTTTTTTTTGCACATGGCGGCGGAGGCCTAAAGTGAAAAGGTTTTATAAAACCCAGCTGAAAGCCTAGGACTGGGGCGATGGCGCATGTGCCCACAGAGAGGGCTCTGAGTGCCGGCTCTGGCACGCGTGCCATAGGTTTGCCACAACTGTGCTAAGTGCTTGTATGACTAATATACTATTTTAAATTACACACGTGTGGAGACTTCAGCAATTTGACACTATCCCTGCTGAAAGTGTTTCTATTTGTTGTCCTGTGTTACCTAGCTTACTGGAAACTCTGGTGAGTGGTAATGAATTGTTTCTCAGTCATGTGGGTTTCACTGGTGATATCAATACAATTTTAAGGAAAGGAGAACCTGAAAGAGAGACCATATAGTTTTCTGCAGTTTTTAATGCAAAATTATTGCCTGTCTTACAGTGTTAAATATGCATATCTGGGTACTGGATTCAGACTAAAAAAGGGTTCTGAGTCTCTGAAAAGCTAAACATGGACCTAAAGCAAAGGATGCTCAAAACAGTATTTTTAATAGCTCTTGCTACAGCTTGCAGGAGCTGTCCAGCAGTTCTGTGGTTGCTCCGAAATTGTTCAGAAAAAACAATGTGAAAGTGAAATAGAAACTATCACTAGCTTAAGATTTTAGTCTTCACTGTCATTTTTATGACTCTTATATAATAGCTACTGATGTTTAATCCAATTTACTGTTATTTTGACTGGGGTAGGAAAGATCTAATGTGAACGTAGCCTTTGTGTTTGCAAAGTCTTGCCACTTCAATTACGGTGTCAGTGTGACAGACTAAAGTACTCTGGAGTTATCTACATAGGCAATACAATGATTTGCATCAATATACCTGAATAAGCCTCTGTAGAACAACAGCCTAAGAACATATACATTTTATTGTTTTCTATTTCATAATTTTATATTTGCAAATGGAGTTTTAATTACTAATTTAGCATTTTAACTTAGATTAATTCTCAAACATTTTATATATTCGAGGAGCACGAAGCTGAAAACACCAGCCTGAAGATGACGAATGGGACTTTGTTGAAACGTCGCCAAGACACTTCCAATTTTACGCGGGAGAAAACCCGAATAACCAAAGACCTACATACAAACATCCACGAAAACCTTAGAAAACATATATATATATGTGTGTGTGTGTGTATGTGTGTGTGTGTGTGTGTGTGTGTGTGTGTGTGTGTGTGTTTTCTGAGGTTTTCGCGGGTGTTTGTATGTAGGTCTTTGGTTATTCGGGTTTTCTCCCGCATAAAATTGGAAGTGTCTTGGCAATGTTTCGACGAAGTCCCATTCATCATCTTCAGGCTGGTGTTTTTAGCTTCATGCTTCGAGGAGCAATGTGTGATCGTAGCTGTTTCTTCCTTTTAATTGCCAGTGGGGGTATGAACTGATTGGATGATAGCTTAGCTGGGTTCTGATTGGATGGAGATGTGTTCTGATTGGTTAGGAGCTTGGCTGTGCTCTGATTGGATGGGGGGTTGGTTGTGCTCTGATTGGTTGGGGGAGTGTTCTGTTTGAGTGGGGGCTTTGTTGTGCTCAGGTTAATCTGAGTTGCAGGGGGATGTGAGATGGTGAGCATTGCTATTGTTTGGGGAATGGAAAGATTTATACTCCTTGCAGTATAAGAATGGAATCTTTCCATTTCCCACCATCCAGTCAGAGCTGAAGAAGCTTCTTGGATGAGAAGTGAAATGCCTTCAAAGAAAAACAAGAAAGTCCAGTTGTCTTGTGAAAAAGCATCTTTGGGACAACTATGACCTGGATGACTGAGAATCTCCATAGACATTTTTCATTTGGTAAACTCTTGATTTTACAGACCTTACAGAATCTGGATGTAATGGATAACATCTGAATTTCAGGCAATAGTAGATTTTACGCCAAACAAGAGACCAAGTCTGTGGTTTGGTGAGACAATCAGGACAACATTTGCTGCTTCTCCTAAAATATGGGCATGCTTCTGCATATGCTTCATTTAAAGTGAAGACTTAGATAAAGCTGGATATTTTCTTCAAGTTAATAGATTATCTAATATCATCATCATCATCAATTGAACCCAGTACTTCCAAAACAGATAGCTAAAAGTAAGGTTTTTTTTCATGTATGGACATGTTTTGCAGCTTAAAAAACCCAATTTGCAATTGAATGGACATTTGGAATTAATGGACATTCTGTCCCCTGTTATTCAATTGAACATTCACTATATTTATAGTACGAGAGCCACTGATTCCTCCGATTAATGGAAGACAAAGAAAAGTTTCTTGTGTTTTTCAACTAATTCCCATTCAATTTGATTTTTTTCAAAATAGCTTTAAAAGTATTGCAGAGGACAAGTAAATGAAATTCTTATGATTAGAATATCATATATGGTATTTGCATTATATACCTACAGTGAGACAAATGTGTATTTCATTGTCCTATTCTTCTTTATACATTCATCTCTCCAGTGGTATGTAGTCTCCCAAGTTTCCCACATTTAACCTAAACCCTTTTAGAAAACTCCAGAATGGAACTTGCCTCACTGCTTTTTGAGTAGCAGTACCAGCTTGTTAAAAGCTTGAAAAAATGTTCTATTTTTTCTACCCACATATTTGGAGAAGAACTTCAAAATGCTATTTGTGCCCAGAATAAGAATTCGCAGCAATCCCAGACACTGTGGGTAATTGTAGCTCTGGGAATTGTAATTTAGCAACACCTGGAGGGCCACAAATGTCCAGATCTCATTTAAATGCATAATTCTGTGCATGTTTTAAGCTTACTTAGAAATAGTTTCTACTAATAGCAATGAGTGGATTGCATATACAAAATGCAGAATGTGGATATAAGTAATCCTCACTTAATGTCCCTAAGCGGGGCTGACAAACCCATTGCTAAGCGATCCACTTGTAAAGTAGAAAATTACATGACTATACTGATTTACAGCAACAGTTCCAGCAGATCTAGTTACAGTCATACAATGAATCACCACAGGTTTTTAGGTGCAATATAACACATATGTGACTTTCAACCTCCTGTTGGCTTTCCCACTGACTTTTTCTGGTCAGAAGCCCCCTGGGAATGTCACAAATGTGATTGCATGACCACTGGGTGCTGTGATTGTTATATATGCCAAACACCAAACATCACAAACACATGACTGCAGGGACACTGTGACAGCCACATCTTTGAGGATGTATAAGTCTCTTTTTTCAGCACTATCATAATTTTGAACAGATGCTAAATGAATGCTCATTAAGTGAGAACTGCCTATATAGGATGAAATCTAAAAATTCCAGTTGCCAACTGGCTAAAAAAAACATTTGCACTAGAAGACTGATGCCTGGCAAGGAAGACTAACTACCAGATGTCCCATCCATTACCACTACTGATCTCTTATATTTTATATTCAAGTCTGATTTTTAAAAAACTTTACATGAAAATGGCCCTAGGATGAATATATAGGATAGCACAAAAGATCATTCTATCTTTTATCAATACCTATGTGCAGGTCACTAGGTGAGACTGCCTACTGTCTTCAGGAATATATTTCGAATACAGCTAGCTCTCGGCTTACAACCACAATTGACCCCAAAATTTCTGTTGCTGAGGCAATTGTTAAGTGAATTTTGCCCCATTTTACGACTTTTCTTGCTACAGTTGTTAAGTGGATCACTGCAGTTGTTAAATTAATATCATGGTTGTTAAGTGAATCAAGCTTCTCCATTGGCTTTGCTTGATAGAAGGTCGCAAAAAATGATCACATGATCCTGGGACAATGCAACTGTCATAAACATGAGTCAGTTTCCAAACGTCTGATGTTTGATCACGTGACCATGGGGATGCTGCAATGGTTATAAGTTTGAAAAATAGTCATAAGTCACTTTTTTCATTGCCATTGTAACTTTGAACGGTCACTAAAACAACGGTTGTAAGTCAAGGACTACCTGTAGTTTGCTCCCTCTTGGCAATTAAGAATCCAAGTTTGTGATAAGACTTTACTATGGTCTGAGAGCCTTGCTGGGGTGGCTCAGAGGTGTACAAGAGCCATGCCTCTTCTAGTATTGAGGCAATGAAAGAAAACCAGGCAGTCCCCAGGCTGCAACTTTTAGCATACTTTTTCAGGGATCAAAAAATCATGAACAAAGAAAAGAGATATGGAAAGTAGGTCAGGCAATGCAGTAGATCTAGTGAAATTTTGGGAGAAAACTTCCCACTTTGATCCTAGCAAAAAGTGTGAAGGGGGAAAGGAAGAGATGAAGAATTATAGTTCTAAGGGAGCCTCAGGTCAGCTAAGCATTTTTTGTGACCTTGCAAAGTGATTGAAAAGAGCATCTTGGTAACTTCTTGGCAGGCACTGATTATCATTGCCAGATAAAGAACCATGGACTGAAATGGAAGATTATTTGCTTGGAGATATGACCGTGTCTTAGATCTCATGTTGTAGATGCTATGTTCCATTAAAGCATGCTTTGGGTCCTGGAATACCTGTGACATATCAAATAATAGTTTCTGTGTAATTTGAATGTACAGTTGGTAAAATAATTGCAGAATACTTCTAGTATAATACATTTTAATCTTGGGAACTGATTGAATTGTACACAAGTAATTGGTCTAAGCTGCTATTACAGCTATAACTGGATTTCTACATATTTATTCTAAGGCTGAACAGAACTTCTCATGGTTTGAAAGCTCCTTGTGATTTTTGCATCAGCATTTCTTCCATTTTCACCCAACCCTGCCTTGCATTCCAAATGGAGTAACCCCTCCTCCTTGCAATTTGCCACGCAAGAGCCTGCTGGAAAACTTCCTGTGCACGCATGGGAGCCATAAAAGGCTTATTCTGGCTCTTGTAATTCGGGTGGGTGGGTGTGTGTGTGTGTGTGTGTGTGTGTGTGTGTGTGTGTGTGTGTTCCTTGCTTGCTCCTTCACTCCCTCCCTCTTTTTTAGTTGATTCTAGCCTAGGCATTAAGAAAATACAGGTCATCTCAGTCATTGGGAATATTTTTGCATATGACTGTATTCCAGAACAAAACCAAAGGGTTGGATTTATTCAGCTGGAGAATTCTTTTTGGCACATTTTCCTCTACCAACATATAATCTGCATCACTTTTGGATTTACTTCCCACTTATAAAGGACTGCAGCCTCCAGGGATCACAGAGCACAGATGTGAGTAACAATCTATAAATGCAATTGGAGGGATTAAAGGGGACAAATGAGAGAATGACAGGGAGATTTTGGAGTTCAACTTGCTGTCTTTGTCTTTTGCAAAAGCTCTCATTTCACAAAAACATACAGCTGGCTCTTCAATATTATACAGAAAAAGGCTATTTGGAAGCAAAAAACACAAACTCTATGCTGTTATTTTTGCATTTTTCTCCTTCTTTGCCTTTGATCTTTTTTGGTGCACAACTTTCATGAGATCTTAGATTAATTTAATCATAGAAGTTATCAGCAATTCATCTAATATTCCTCAGTAGTTACTGAGAAAAAAAATGTGACTCAATTTGGCAAGCTGTATCCTTGATTTGTTAAAAGTCATTCTGTATTTTAAACATTCAGGAGTATAGCTATGCATGCTATAACTGAGGAAATTGCATTTAAGCATGCGAAGCTAAGTTTACATGCCAAGACAGATATGCATTGGATATGCAGTTGGGATGGAGTATCTTACAGCATTTTTTAAAAAAACATTTGCTATCCAGGGTGAATTTTGTCTAAGGGCAATTTCAGGCAAAGTACAATCTTTGCAGAAAGTGTACTGCAGTGCTTTCAAGAGATGTGAGAGAAAGAGGCAGAAAACACCAGGCTAGGAATGTTATTGGTGGTCATGAAAAAAAAAAAAAAGCCAATGGCATTGCATCTTTAAGATATTCAAATAAATTATAGCAAGAATTAAATAGTCTGTTTATATTCAGTATTGAAAGAATGTCAAACAGCAAAATAGGAATAAATGATTGCTAACCATGGAAACAGACCTTGGTTGTGAATGACGCCTGACTAGCAAATCTTATGAGCCTGGCTTCTTGTGAAGTGGCTCCAGATACAGGATAGATTGACCTGAATTGCCATACTGAGTAGTTTTGAGTTCTAGCTGGCAAGAGCTATCTTTATACCTGATATTTAAAAACTATAAATATATTTTATGATCTTTTGCACTCAAATTATGTACTTAAATACATTGTTCTATTGTTACTTCCCCATATGTTTACCAGACAAAGAGGTTACACCAGAGTAAGATATAGTGCACCAGAGTAAGATATAGTGCACCAGAGTAAGATATAGTGCAGATAGATAAATCCTTATGCAAAAGAATAAATGGTCACAAAATTAACATCAGAAGCATATACTTAGAGGCAAGCAGGAGAAAATGTCAACCTTCCCATGACATTCTGTTTCAGCTCTTTAAAAAAAATGGAGAAAAGCTGAGTTGTAACTTGACAAGTGTTTAATTCTGTTATTTGAGGCTTCAACCTAGAGACTTATTTTTAATTCCACTGTAGGTGTTAATTAATTCAGCAATGAAAGGTTCCTTATAAATGCACTGTGAATGATCACTGGGTTTGGTTTTTACACTTCAGAATGATACACTGTTTAAAATTTGATTTTTCCTCTTATTTTCACTGCCATCATTTTGTTTTCCTCTTATAAATTAAAAAGGAAACTCCTTTGATTTCAAGTGATTTCATGGATGTATTGATGTGTTTTCTTCACCACAGCATGGGACCAGTTTTGGAATAATTTTTGTCCTATCCTATAACTCTGTTCCCCATCTAAGTACCAACCCAGCCAAATCATCCCACTAAAGCCAGACAAGCTTGGCTTGTTCAAACCTTTGATCTAACAACAGACAAACACCTTGGACATGTTTTTATTTGAACGCTATGTCATTTGATTTTTTTTATTAAGAACAAATGAATTTGACAACTGAACTGACCTTCTTCCCTAGCCATTTTATTTATTTATTTATTTGTTTGTTTGTTTGGGTTGAAAATCTCAGTTATTGCATTACAGGCAAATGAGTATATTTGCAAAGTGCAAAGGGGAAAAGCCCAACTAATACTGTATTTCAAAGTTAAGAACACTGACCGTCAAATTCATAATTCATATGTATGTACATATAGTTAACATTTTTTTTTATTGAAAGTTTTTTAAATTTTACAAAACAAATCCCCTCCCCAAACACCCCCACCCTCCCATACCCTCCCCCACCTCCCCAAACCTCCCAAACCCTCCCCCAACCTTCCCAGAGCTGAGTACAGGCTTAATTAAATTTTTTTAGAAAAAGAAAAGGAAAACTTAAAACACATATAAATCCTAAACAAATCTAAATACATTAAATTAAATAGGTTATCTTCTCTAAAAAAATAATAATTGCAATCATTAAACACATTATAATATACTCTAAACATTTTCTAGTATCATACTTATATTATTATCCATCATTCTGTATAAACTCCCTCCAAAACACAAATTTAAACATTACTTTCTTTGAGTATCTATACCTACAATATAAAATCTAATCTCTCCCTCTTTCTTTATCCTAGAACACAAAAATAAACATATAAACCTTCATTATACCATTAAAAATAAATACTCTTTGAATACTTAAACTAAATACTTAAACTTAAACTTCTTATCTAAGATTTTCATTCAATCTCCATAATCTTCTCTCCTATAAAAAAAAACTTAAAAGACATATAAATCCTAAACAAATCTAGGTACATTTAATTAAACAAGTTATCTTCTCTTAATAATAATAATAATAATAATAATAATAATAATAAAAACCCAATCATTAAACACATTATAATATACTCTGAACCTTTTCATATCATACTTATGTTATTATCCATCATTCTTTATAAACTCCCTCCAAAACACAAATTTGAACATTACTTAAAACATTAGAATTCCCTTATACACATTTAAATCTTTACCAATAACAAATTCCATCCACAATAAACACATTCCTTATAAGTCTCTCTTGTCCATAAACCATTAAAATTCCCTTATACACATTTAAATCTTTACCAATAATAAATTTCATTCACAATAAACACATTCCTTATCAGTCTCTCTTGTCCATAAACCTCAAAAGAAGTGCTTTGAAAACTGCCCTTAAAGCTAACTCCAAAAAGTTTGTAAATCTTGCTTCTCCCACAGACTCAGTACTCTTTTGAATACTTACACTAAGTACTTAAACTTAAACTTCTTATCTAGAATTTTCATTCGATCTCCATCCTTGTCAGTCTCTCTTATCCATAAATCTCGAAAGAAGTGCTTTGAAATCTGCAATTAAAGGTAGCTCCAAAAAGTTTATAAATCCTGCTTCTCCCACAGACTCAGGAGCCAATACTTGTGAGGCTTCCTTAAACTCCTTCTTCTGTTGCTCTTTTTCTTTACGATTATATGTTGCATGAGTTGTCTTCTGCTCCTTCATCTCGACTTGTTGAGACCCCTCAAACTGAGATTTCCCATTCATTAATATAGGCTCTTCAGACTGCAATTCTACCCTTAAAGGTTGCTCCAAAAAATTTATAAATCCTACTTCTCCCAGAGATTCAGAAACCAATAGTTGTGAGGCTTCCTTAACCTTCTTCTGTTGCTCCTTTTCTTTACAGTTATATGTTGCACAGGTTATCCTCTGCTCCTCCATCTCGACTTGTTGAGGCCCCTCAAACTGAGGTTTCCCAATTTTCATAAGTATAGGCTCTTCAGACTGCAATTCTACCTTCTTTTCTTCCAAAGCTTTAAACTTAATAGATGGCGATGAACATACCCCCAGGACCGAAGTATAAAAGTCTTTTGCTTGAGAAACAGTATTAAGTCTATAACATATCCCCAGGTAATTCACCACCATTCCAATCGGAACATCCCATCTGAACAAGATTCGTCTCTTTTTAAGTTCATCTGCTAAAAAAGCAAACTCCTTTCTTCTTCTTAAAAATTTAGATGGGATCTCCTTTAGAATTATAACATCTTGTGAAGCAATTTGAAATCTCTTCTTATAAAAGTCTTGTATAATTTCGTTGCGCAGAGATCTTTTCCCAAAGTAAATTACCACATCTCTTGGCAAATTCTTTTGCACTGCCACCACAGAGTTAAGTCTAAATAATTTTTCAATTTCACTGAGTATTTCCTCTTTTTCTTTATTCAAAATCACAGCAAAGTCCTTTGCAACCATCTCTCTCAGATCTCCTTGCACAGACTCTCCCAAACCTCTGATTCTTAAGGCATATTCCATTTGTCTATATTGAAGCATAAGAATCTTATTTTCCATTTCTTTTTCCATGCTTTCAAATTTTCCCTCCATCAATTCCACTTTTTTTTCTACCTCTTCTACACGAGAGTTCAGCTTTTCAAGAACAGAGGCAACTCCTTTTAGAGCCAACACTATCTCTTGCCTCAAAATCTTATTATTTTCCTCTAAAATCTCTTTCATTTCTGCCCTAATTTGAGATATAACATTTCCCATCATATCTTGCAAATCCTTCACCATTATTGACTGTGCCAAGGAAGAGGGTGAAGCTATTGATTTATGTTGTTGTGCTGATGATAACACCGAAGAAGAAACCACCTTAGGAGCTGTAGGAATTACTGGACGCTTTGGAGCCATCTTAAAAAAATCTTTACTCCTTCTTAAAAATTACAAAAATTAAGCAAAAGAAAAAGAGAGATTAAGTCCAAAAAAATTCAAAAAGTCCTTCAAAAGGAGATCATTATAACAAAAAGATACTGAACGCTTTGGAGCCATCTTAGAAAAATCTTTACTCCTTCTTTAAAATTACAAAAATTAAACAAAAGAAAAAGAGAGATTAAGTCCAAAAAAATTCAAAAAATCCTTCAAAAGGAGATCATTATAATAAAAAGAAAGGAGTTAAAAAAAGAAAAGGGAAGAAGAAAAAAATAATTAAATAGAAAAAATCCATTCCATTTTTTTTTAAAGTACAAAAAGCAAAACAAAGAAGTTAAACAAAAATAATAATGGTTCTAAAATCCAAACCCAACATCAAAATCAAATCCACATTCCGTTCCAATCATTAAAAAAAAAAAGGAAAAGGATAAAAAAAAACACCAAAAAGCCTGCCGATCGCCATTCTACCTTCCCCCCCCCCAAAAAAAACCCGAAAGGCTTGCCGATCGCCATTTTACTTTCCCTTTCAACAAAAGAAAAAAAAATAAAAAGAGGGAATATAAAAGTAAAAGTAAATCTTTAAACTTAAAATCCAAATAAAATCAAAAAAAGCAAAAGCTAAATCCTCTACTCAGCTCTGTCCGCCTCTAAAAAAACCTCACCAGATCACTTTAATCACGGAGGTGGTTGCAGCGGCTTGTTTTGTCCCTAGGGACAAAAGCAGCTGGGAAGCAGAGACAGTCTGAACTCCGTGGGAGCACTCCTCTCACCCCCCCCCCAAAAAAGGCCTTGGGGGTGCATGAGAGTGGCTCTACCATTATTCAGACAACCCTCTTCCCCCCCCTTTGCCTGGGAGGGGGATTTTGAACCTCTGAACAGCTGATGGCCGCTGTTCATAGCGATTCAAACACTTACCCAGGAGGACGGCTACAAAGTAGCCGCCATCGCACACGCAGATCCACCGGAAGACCCATATAGTTAACATTTTTAATATAGGCCTTTGCTCTGTTCTATGTTATTCTCTGACTTTATCTTTGGGATAAATATATTCTAGGTGCTTGGTTAAGAATGTTAATTTATTCCTGGATCTTGCTGGGCCACTGGGAGGATACTTTGCAGGAGATGCATGGTTAGGAGAGAAAGTTACACACACTATTATTTAAAACTAAAGTAATTTGGGTCTAGTTCTAGTTAATATTTGGATGGGGAACACTGGGAAATGGTGTTTCCATCAGTTGGCCACTGGCTATCAGTTAAGGATGTGTTCTAAGTCCTGAAAATACCACAAGGCTTAAAACTGGGATTGTGTTTACTTATTCAGGATCACAACAAGTGAGGAAGTGCTGATAGAGGTTCTTCCCTAGCAAGAAAAAAGTAATAATATTCCCATTATATTTTGGTATAAGAGAGATATTTGGATGGGGAAAGTGGGGAAAATATGTGCTTTTATTATATGAATTACATTTTAGGAATAATTAATTGCAAAGTGATAATATATACAATGTTATTATATATCTATATTTGTGAGCTTTTTTGAGGTTTTTTTTTTTCAGGAGAAAGAGGTGGAATATAAATTCAGAAATCAAATAAGCCAAGCCAAATAGTGGATTATGATAGCAACAAAGCCCAATTAATTTATCTATGAATTTTATTTAAATGTTTAATTATACATATTATCATACTAAAATTGTCAAAGTCCCACAGACCAGTCTAAATGAATTTTCTTATCTGAGGAAGTTAATATTTAGTAATGCCATCTATTCTACTTGTAAGAAGGATCTCTTCTGCATGTGAGGAAAAAGGATATCTATTAAAGCAAATGTCCAGTCAAGCTGACATAATTGATATTAGCACAATTTACATAATTTGCATAATTTTGTATTTCACATTATTTATCTGATTGGCAGAAAGGACTTAAATGGTATCAGTTGTTTGAACTGCTTTGAAAACAACAGACTTGGTGTGTTATTTGGGAGTGAAATTTCCACTCACATTTTATCCATTCATTTGAAGTTTGCTAAATAGGAGTTTGAGCTTTTATTATATAGTAATTGAATTTTAAAAGCAGGCAAACAAATCTGAACATAATTGTTTTTCTCCCAAAATCTTATACATAGTCTATAAACAGAATACTACTGCTTAAGGCCAGATTTCTGCCCAAGTTGTTAGATCCATTTAAAATAAACTGTTCACCATAAAACAAGGTCAGATGAGTATTTGGAGCCAGTAGGCACAATAGTTGGCATAATAGCACATATTGGGATTATATTATGGAAATTCTTGTAAAATGGTTACCTTGGTGGGCATTGCCAATAGGGAAAACATCCTTTAATCAGAAAATAACTGGAAATTGAAATGAATTTTTCTATTCATCCTGCAATTAGTTTTATGGTGATATACTATTTTCTTTGCAAAACAAGAATAGGAGCACTAGACTAATTCATGTGTTAGCATCAACAAAAACTATCAAGCAAGTGCCAATTTATCTTCTCATTTTTGAAAACATGAAAATCTGATGGCATTTTATTGCTTTTTTATAAACCATTGTGTGATACAGAGCAATATATAATCTGGGCCAATGATTATTCTGGTATAAATCAATCTACTTCATTTAATGAAATGAACTTTGCTTCATCAGCGTATGGAATAATAAATGTGCTATCTAAGAGGCCGGGGATTAAGTATTATTGTCATAGACCAGGGGTGTCAAACTGCTGGCCCACAGGCTGGTTGCATCATGCAGAAGCCGCACCCAACCCAGCTCCAGCAATGCGAAAAAAGTCACGATATGTCGCGACATGTCACATGACATGGCGAGTTTGACATGTCATGGACTCACAGAGTTGTCTTTTTAAAAATGCATTCCTGCCATTCTTGTTTTTCCATGATCTATTTAAATTTTTGTTCTACTTACTCATTTTCTGGATTACATGCATAAAGCTTTTCTTTTATCTTACCTGCAAGAACAGTTGCATGCCAACTTGGTGGGGACCTCAGTTACACACATATATTTGCTTATGTCTTTAAGGTTACTTAATTTCGTCCACCCCAAAGAAAAAAAAATCCTGTCTGGAAATAAAGCATTCAGCCTGAGCCTGCTTATGCTCACATGGGGACACTGGAGCAGCTGCTGCTTGCTGTAAGCATAAGCAGCTGGGTCCATTTCTCCCTAACCTCATTTACATACTTGTCAGCTGTTCAGAGCAAGACAGCAAAAATAATCCCTTTGCTTGTAATAGGAGTTTGCAGTTTTGACTGTGCCCTAATTAGTGCACTGTTTCCTGCTGCTCACAGCTCAGTGCTGTGCTGCATGAGGCAGCAACAATTTATGTGAAATGAAGTGGGTGTGAATGAAGACAAGAAAAAGGGGCTTCAAAGGAGAGACCCAAGAAAGAAGCAAAGTTGACTGGAGGAAAATCTTCAAAGCTGGATAGAGACTCTGATCTGCATGGAATTTTGGGAGTGCAAGAACAAAAGGAATAAATTTAACTTATCTTATTATTTAGATGCAAATACCCAGCAGACAAAGAAATGGAGGATTAACTGAGAAGACCCAATAAAAGGTATGAGAGCTATTTATGTATCTATAGAGCAAAGGGGACAACCTCCTTTTGACTTTAAGCCCTTTAAGCCCTCCAGATTGATCCCACAATCAGCATAATACTCAGAGGTAATACTGTAGTAACTGCAATCTAACATTAGTATTTGATGGGCTACAGATCAGCTACAGAACCAGTTTGGTCTAATGGTTAAGGCATCAGACTAGAAATTGGGAGACCATTGTTTCTAGCTCTGCCTTAGGTATAAAGCCAGTTATGTGACCTTGATTCAGTCACTTGTCTCAGCTATAGGAAAGAGACAATAGCAACAAAACAACTTGCCAAGAAAGCTGCTGAGAGTTTTCTAGGCAGTCTCCAAGAATTGGAAGTGATTGAATAACCCCCCCCCCCAAAAAAAAAAAGGCTAGAGATGGTAGAAAAGTCATAGAAAAGTTAGCTGTAGGACAGAAAGATGCATCCATGAAATTCTCAAGCCATTAGAAATCTGCATCTCTATGTTTGAACATCTCGTTTGTTGAAACTTTCTTATGTTTTGTTGCAGTATACATGGATTACTAAGCAGATGTTTCCCTGTCCCTGAGATGGAAGTGCCAAGCATCAAGGACTTTCAGTGGAAAACTTTAGCACCTTTGCCCAGTCCAAGAGTCTATTCTTCCCTGGTAGAGGCTGGTGGACAGGTGTTTGCCATCGGGGGCTGTGATGACAATGGTGTGCCAATGGACTGCTTTGAAGTGTATTCCCCAGAAGCAAACCAATGGAATTCTCTGCCCCCGATGCCTACAGCCAGGGCTGGGGTAGCAGTAGCTACACTGGGCAAGAGGATAATGGTGATTGGAGGCATGGGAGCCCATCAGATGCCTTTGAAGATAGTGGAGATGTACAACATAGATGAGGGCAAGTGGAAAAAAAGAAACTCTTTGAGAGAAGCCTCGATGGGCATCTCTGTGTCAGTAAAAGGCAAGAAACTTTTTTTAAAAAAAATAAAAAATAAAGTGTGTAGTAGAAACAACTTTAGCTTTGAAGGCAATACCTTGTCCTTGGATATATTTCTGTTTATAATTGGCGGGATGAATGATTTTTTTTCTCATATGCAGAGGCCTAGTCTAGTCAGCAAAAGGCTATCAACTTCTTTTATCCAGTCAGTATTGTCTGATTTTGACCCTTTCACCTGAATTGTTGGAATAACCATCAATGAATTGCTCTGGTTGAGTTTATGCGGTTTTCAACCATCTGGCCTAGAACTTGCTGTGAAGTCCGTTTTGTAATTGGAAGGTGGCCTGACCTTTTCTTCTTCTTCTTTTTAAACCCACACACAGCCAAGCATGTTTTGTATTCCTGCCAAATATGGAAGAAGTTGTTTATTCTGTTTGGTTTGGTGAAGTTTTTATAGCTCCCAAAGGACAGATAAATCAGTGCTTTCTAGTGCATGTGACAGGCTGAAGGTTTTTGCAAAGCATGGAGTGCCAAGATCATTCAGTAGGAATTTATATAGGAAGGTGAATGTGTGCAGTCAAGCATCAATCTTTTTTTCCCTTCAGTATCTTTACCCTCACATTACAACCTGCTTTTGAATATTTGAATCATTTTAGATATGTGTTTGCAATGGAAAGTATCAAATTGCTGTTATGAAATAGAAGGCCAGAAGCCTTCTTTTACCCAAACAAGCATTTCCTGCTTAAATGGGAACTTGACTGCAGGAGAGACATGGCTTAGAGAAGAAGTATTTATTGGAATTTAGCAATTTATCATTGCTGTTTTGCATGTGAACATCTCTTATTAAATGGACTAAAATCATAAATAACTTTCTAGCAAAAGAACTTGGTGGAAGTTTTATCCTTAGAGCAGTAGTCAAGCTATATGATCTGTGGAACATGATAACAACAATGAATGCGTTTCAGTTCAGGGATTATTCTGGTTTTACATTTAAAATGCATGGATTACAGCTCAGATATCCCAATTTCATAGTTGGGATTTTGTTTCCTTTTCTCTTCTAGACTACCGAATCTATGCAGCTGGTGGAATGGGAGCAGATCTACGTCCTCACAATTATATGCAACACTATGATATGCTTAAAGACATTTGGGTGTCCTTGGCAACTATGCCTACACCCAGGTATACTGCCACCTCCTTTCTGCGTGGCACTAAGATCTATGTTCTGGGTAAGAATACACTTCAAGCATCTTCTCATTTTGCAGCTAACTCTAATCTTTACCCTAATTTGTCTCCACGTACATAATTCAAGAACCTGTTTCTTCTTCCTCAAACAGCTGCTCAAGATATACAGTGCTGGAAATGTCCTTTGAATAAAAATGTCTGAGCAGTAACTGTCAGGTTTTCTACAGAAGCCACAGGTCCATGGCTACATTTCTCCATCATAGTGGAAGGAAATAGCATTTACATGAATGTCACTTTTCCTGAGCAATATTGTGAGATTAAAGAGAGGAACTCACAAACAGGTTCTTGGAAAACAACACTGAAGTGCCATTCTAAAATCATCAGTCAGAAATAAAATAAGGAAGATCTTCCCTGGTTGCCTAAGGCAGCATATGGCCCCCAACAACCTGGATCCTCATTTTACCAACCTCAAAAGGATGGAAAGCTGAATCAACCTTGAGCTTTTCAGGACTGAACTCCTGACAGTGCGTAGAGTTAGCCTGCAATACTGCATTCCAACCACTGCATCACCACAGCTCAGAAACATCCATCTCAGTCCCTGTTTGGCTATTTTTTGCTAAATAATACTGATCCAGAAAGCAGACACATTTTCCTAGGCATAAGGATGAAAGCTGAAAGAGGAAAAGTGGGCAATTAAATGGGAATTGCCATACAGTAGTTTACATTCTTACATTTTATTGAGCTTTTAGACAATGCTATCATCCAGTTATTGTCCTCCCCGAAATGAATTTGTATTTCTATCATAACTACAGAAAGTTTGATGTGAACTGCAGTATTCATGGGTGTAGAGAGCCTTAGCATTGTCCCTCCTTTTATCTTAAACTATTGGGAATCTTCAGGCCATAAATATTGTCTCCTCCTCACCTCCCAGGACCCAGATTTAGATGGCTAGCAATTTTGGAAGGCTCTACCCTCAAAGCTTTTAAATAGCCAATAACCTCAATGAAGGTTGCAATATCTTAAAGCTTCTTTTGCAGTGCAGGGAGACCATTTTTAAGGAAAGTAGATGAGGCTAACCTTGTTGCACAAAGATACAAGGTGGTGTTAGCCATCTCATTCATAATAGAACCCTCTAAGATAAATAGATATTGGGAGTTTTTTAAAATAGGTTTCAATTACTTTCTAAAAGTCTAATTGCAGAATTTGTGCAAATGTATATGTGAATAGTTGTTCACATGGAAATAGTTACATTGAACTGCTGCTTGACTGAACAGAATCATCTTGCCCTTTGCCTATCTCATCCATTCATGAAAGCATGTCATCAAGTCAGACCATAGTATCCAATAGTTCAGTATCAGCAGCTGGACATAGTAACACTTCATTGTTATCTTTAAGGACTAGGAAGTATTATAACTGGATCTGATGGAACTTAAAGAAAGCTACACATAGAATTGCAATGCATTTAGGTGTACAGTATGTCACTGATAATTTTACTTGTATCTGACCAGAAATATGCAAGAATGAAGGGTTCACTGAATGCACAGAGATTTTGAATGTGTTCCACTATTATGCAGTTTTGAAGCTGTAAATTCCAAAGTTTTCTGAAATGTGGGCACTGATCCTTAGCAAAACAGGCAGAAGAGATACAGAAGTGACAAAGTAACTTGAACAAAAGAGAATAGCTGCAAAAGCAAGATGGACAAGGTAGACAATTGAAGTTGATAAGCTTGCCTCTTGGATTCTGAGTTCAAAAGGGGCCAGGCCAATTTATCTCCAACTTTTTCTCTAATGTCCAAAAGAAACAGAGAAAAGAATAAAACATATGAATAATTTATATCAGGTAGACTTCATATTAATACTGTGTATATATCTCTAAGTTAGTCTTGACTCCTGCTATTTGCTTGAACAAATCCATGTAGTTTTCTTGACAATATTTCTAGAAGTGTTTTGCTTTCTTCCTTTGGTTAAAGAGAAATTGACTAGAGCTCAGCTGGTTTCACACTTAAGACAACAGTAAAACTCATGGTTTCCCTTTTCCTTGCTCAGTGCTTTTAACCACTACATCAAACTGGCTCTCTAAAGTTAGTTCTAATCTGGGGGGGGGGGGGGAATTTAGGCAAGGAAGTGAGAGTCCCCCTTCATTCTCACTACATCTATTGCCCCAAGGGTCAATAATTTTATTAATTCAGAAGATTGGTACACAGAAAATTGAATTCGAACATTGATAATATTGCTAATAAAAAGCATTTGGAGACTGCAGTATCTCCTCTACACCCAACATTAAATCAAAAAGTTATCTCTGAGCAGAGTGAAATGATATCTATTTTGATTTAGCTGTTCTCATTCTAAGACCAAAAAAAAAAAGTATGTTCTAAAGCTTCCAAAGTTGGGCCAGGGTCTTCTGTGACCTGCATAGAACAGGAAATCTATCACCCTCCTCATAAGTCATGATATATAATACTTAAAGGTTAGTTTTTGACCCCTGAGGCAGAAAATCTCACATTTTCCCCTGCAGTTCTAAACATGATGCCATCTCTCTGCAATATGGGCAATCTCTGTCTTGTGATTTTGATGAGTAAATAGAAGTTGTCTTCTTAATTAACAGCAACAAATTTTATCAACTTTTTATACACTTCAGTATGGTCTTAGAACGAGAGTAAATTCTGTTCACATCTACACTAAATTCTGTTCACATCTACACCAGAGCTTACACACTGTAATGAGTACTGAGGCATGAGTAGATATGAGCTGGCTGGGAAAATCTGTGACTTGGTCCATACATCTTAAAGTTGTCCAGTTTGAAAATGGGTAGACAGTAGTTATCAAGCTTCCTGCAAGGGGAGAGCAAGAACATAGAAGGGGAAATGAGTTTGTTTTTTTTAAAACTAAAATAGTTACATAAACAGAACTTGCAGTAAAGAGCTCTTCTGGCTCCCTTTTGTTCATTCTTCCTGCAGCTGCTAAGCATGCTTAATCCTTCTTGGGTGATTTTAAAGCAGATATATTTTCTACAAATCTCAAACTCTCCCAGATGTGCTGACAGCTCCCTCTCATTTCTTACTCCAGTTCTGTGTTGAGGGAGTGATTACTCATCATGCCTTGATAATCATTTTGGTTAAGGCCAACTGTAAATATAAAAGAATAACACCACCAAAAGCACCCTTCCATACACACACACCAGTATATAAAATGGGCAAATTGGTGGAAACTACTATGACATGCTTAAAGATCATAACTGTAACCTTGGCAAAAATATGCAATGCTTTTGAAGCACAATTGGTAGGACATCTATGGAATAAATGTATTATCCTGCAACACTGCATACTTTATGCCAAATATACAGACAGAGGTTTGCCTGATTTATGAACTAGAATAACAGTCTAAGAGTAATCATAATTATGAGTTGTGCCATGTGGTAAGTTAGCTTTATAACTGAAAGGTTGTTATAAAATCTGTTCAGCTGAGTGACTATCCAGAGAAAATTACTTAATGAGAGGTAATTTTTTTTTCCAAAGATTTCATAGGTAGTCAGATCTTGTTATTTCCTAACAGGATGAGGAAGAAAAGGACATAAAACTGAGTTGGTTTTTCAGCAGCCAAGAGAATTCCTTTCCCTTCACTTGTGATAGCATCTCTTTACCTAATTTTCCTCAGTTCTCCATTCACTACTGCTTTCACAATGATGAAAAAATAATATTGGTATGAAGCCAAGCTGATCTTTCACTACAGTATCTGCTTTTCTTTACTGAAGGTGGAAGGCAGTCCAAATATGCTGTGAATGCCTTTGAAGTCTTTGATATTGAGACCAGATCTTGGACCAAGTTCCCCAATATTCCCAGCAAAAGGGCTTTCTCCACCTTTGTTTGCACAGAGAACAACATCTTTAGCCTTGGAGGATTGCGGCAGGGCAGATTGTACCGTCAGCCTAAATTCATGAAAAATGTGGATGTCTTTGATATCGAGCAAGGTGGGTTTTCTACGATTGCCTCCAAATTCTAATGTGGCTACATTCAGGTGGGGGGAGGGGGGGAAGAGAACAACCTTTTGATACACACTTTTTATAACTAGTAAAATGCTGCCTCCATTTCTCCTGTGGTTTGCTATGTATATTCAGCAGTATAATTTGGGAAAATTCTGAAAGAATAAAAAATGGCTGTATGTACCTAATGAACTGAGGCTCGCTTACCCAAGCCTTATAATGGGGAGTACAATCTATGTTCTCTGGTTTGCATTTAACCTCTACAAGTGTTGTGAGTCTGTGCCAGCCACTGGACCCGGCAGCTGAGTCCGGGGAATCAGGAGGAGGAGGGGCCTGGAGAGCCATCAGAGTCGGAGGAAGGCTCTGATCAGCTCCAGGACTTACAATCTGATGAAGAGCCTGCCCCTCCAATCATGCTCAGGCTGAGACTCAGCTGTGCAGGGACCCTGAGACAGACTCTGAGGACTCAGAGCTGGAAGACAAGCGCAGACAGGCAACAAGAGCAGGACAGAGGGAGGCAATGGGGCAACTCCAAGGGAGGAGGAGAAGTCATTGAGAAGTCACGCCTTGGGGCTGCATAATAAAAAGGGAAGGTATGGGCGGTGCTGGTTGCTGAAGGCAACCGTTTGCAAAGGACTCAAGTTTCATGGAATCAGATTCTGTTTGCCTTGCCTGTGAACAATTCTTCGTTTGAATCGTGTTCTGTTTGCCTTTGAACAATTCTCTGTTTGCATTCTGTTTCGTTTGCCTTTGCTTTGGGGACATTTTCAGGTCTGTACCTAATTAATAAAAGGGGTTTGTTTGTCCTGCATTTCCAGCCTACTTGTTAAATGAGGGGTTGGTCCTTGTGGAGTTAACAAGGACTCACATAGGCTGGGACAGAACAACAAGTCCTATTGATCCTAAAGAAATCACTGCCAAATTTCCATTATTAAATTTCAAATTGGGCAGGAAGGAAAATTGCTAAATACATGAAGAATAACTATATGAAATGTATTTATCATTAATATTAATTAAAATAAAATGTTCTTCCATTCTGATTCCGCCTACTTGTCTCTAGCAAATCACACAAAAGTAAAAAGCAGTCTTATTACATCTGATGTAATAAGGGAATTAAGGTATGTAGTATAATAGTAAAAACTCTGGATTGCTGCTTTTGAGTTCACAACCCAAGTTGTATACTGATCCCTAAATATTTGAGAAGCCCATCATCTAAATTATGTTTTCAAGGCAAGTGTTTGCATTGTAAGGTCTTCATTCGTTAATGTGACAACAAATGTAATAGTTTAAGTAGCAAATATTTTTATTCAGTTTGGTGACTGCCCCTTCAAGGATTTCAAGAATCTTATTTATAGCAAAAACAGTTTCTCTCCAGGTGCCAGAAAATTCATTGTTCCAATTGTACTGCCAATTGTTCCTAAATCTATATTAAGCTTTAAAATTCAGATGTAAAACTTTTATGTAAAATTCACAAGTCCAGAAGTCAGTTTTAACTTAATGGAGGAGATGGGTCTGCAGAGAAGTGAAGCAATTTATCATCTTACTATGAACAGTAACTGCTCACTGGAGAGAGGACCCCACATATTATTGAATTAATGGAGAGGAGCAGCCTTTTATGAGATTCTTCTGAACTTCAGATTCTCATGCTTTCTGATGCTATGGGCTTCAAATTTGCCGAAACCCAGGACGAGTTGGATGTGGAATGTTAACTTTTATATGTTAATCCATGTTAATATTTTGGAACTCTGTGTGGAATTTTACTGGTAATTGGATAAGGAGATGTTACTTTTTTGATTTGCCTATTGTTAAGAAAAAGTGGCAGCGTGCTGGCTCAATGGTTAAGATGTTGGGCTTGTTGAGTGGAAAGTCAGCAGGCCAGGTTTGAGACCTGAGCACCACACAATGGGGTGAACTCCTGTCCTCGACCCAGCTTTGGCCAATCTAGTAGTTTGAAAGAATGCAAATGTGAGTAGATAAATTGGTAACATTTTGGTTGGAAGGTAAAAAGCGCTCTGTGATGTCAGGCTGACCACATGACAATGGAAATGTCTTCCGACAACACTGGTTCAATGGCCTTGAAATGGAGATGAACATTGACCTATTATTATAGTTGGCAATGACTAGTGGAGTATAATCTGCAATGACTTCTTTTTTTATTGCTAAGAGATGGTTCTGAGATGAAGAGTTTTATATTTATTAATTAAGAGAAGATGAGATTATAAAAATGTTTATATTTGTTGTGATGAGGGTGAGAAACTGCTTTCTTAAGGGGAGGTTCTTTTTACTTTTGCCTTCTTGCACTTTTTTCTTTCTTTTCTTTTTTAGTTTGCATTATTTTATTGTTGTTTCTAAACCATTTATTAAAATAATTATTAAAAAAAAGAAACCCAGCTTAAGTTGGTTCTCCCCATTCATCAACAAATTGGTATCTTTCGTGAGGTCTGCCTCAAAGGAGTAGAATTTTTTGGGTAATAATATATATTCAGTGGGGTTGACTGAACAGGTCCCTACATTGCTGCACTAACCATATTACCATAATAATTTCCCCAGAAAGCAATATCCATATATGTATATAATTGCATTCTGCAGAAGTTACAATGGCAAAGGGCGGGAATACAACTGAAAGACTTGGTGATCATGTCTGTATCAAACAGTAAAAAAAGTATAAGGGGGGGAAGGAAATATGAGCACTCAAAATATATCAGTAGAAAAAATCTATTGAGTTATAGACCTCTAGCATGTTATTAGCTATGAAAAATGTCATGATCATTTAATAATGAATCAGGTTAATTTTCAGGAGGCTGGATGAAGATTGATCGCTCATTTTTTCTGAAGAAACGACGGGCAGATTTCATTTCTGGATGTTTAAAAGGAAGAATTGTTGTTGCAGGAGGACTAGGTGAGGATTTTTTCCCCATCCCTTCAAAGTTTGAACTATATTTTTCAGTTTTATTTATATTGCGAATAGGAAATAGACCTGTCCATGAGTCTACCTCAAAACTTTTCCAACGAGTCCTGCTCTCATTAGCGACCCCCTGCCTCTACCATGCCTATGGAGCTAATAGGGAAGCAGTTAGTCTGGGAAAGCATAAAGCTTTGCCATCGTGGATTCTCTGAGTTCCTCCCTAAGGCATGAAACCCAGAGAATGCAGGTTAGAAAACTAGGTTGGTGATCTAGGAGTAGAAAATCACAAACCTCAGATAAATATGCCCAAGAAAGCAGATGATGGACTAGAAAAAATGATTATTCTAGTTAAGGTTGAGAGAAATAGGAAAAAAAAAAAAAGATGGATGGATGGAATTTCCTTAGAAGAGCTTTTATTATTATAAATGTCCAGGTGCCAAGCATACCTTTAACTCTACAATTATCAGGAATAAAACTTAGTAATGCTGAACTAAAATCCATTATCGCTTACTTACTTACTTCATACTTACAAAATGAACCAATGAATATACGTATGTTTTTATTGTGTGAAGTTGGGTGTCTGGGAAGAGAGATATACAAGATTTGAAATAGGAAAACTAAAAATAGTTAAAATGAAGAAAAAATAAATCCACAGGAATCTTTATAAGCTTATACTATGGACAGCTATGATAGCAAAATTATCTGAAGAAATGTTTAAATTATAATTATTTGCACAGGTCTGAATATGATACAGTACAAAACAAATCAATTTCTTCTCTAAAATGAGAGAGACAACCAAATCTATATTCAGGGATAAGAAATGTGTGTACGTGTTTGTCTGTATTCATATCAAAGCAGAGGGAAGGAAATCACCTTTTTTTCAAACTGATCTCGGTACTCAATATGGCACGTAATCGATTCTGTTTTCTGTCTAGCAGAATAACAGCACTACAGATCCAGCTGATTTAACTTATTTTCTTTGGTTTCTCAAAATCAATTAGTTAAGAAACAGCAATAATCTCTCCAAAAATTACAGTTCCTATATTAGTTTGTTCAAGTTCAGGAACTTGAAGATGTATGGACTTCAGCTCACAGAATTCCCGAGTCAGGCTCAATCATGCTGGCTGAGGAATTCTGGGAGCTGAAACATCTTAAAGTTTCTAAATTTGAAAAACACTATTTCAAAGGATATATTTGCCCCAGATGTGCATAAATAAACAAACACACACAAACACATATACTTGTATATTCTTTTTAAAACCAGTAATCAGTAGAATGTTCATTGGATGGCTTTGGAATTCTGTGCATTTTCTATCTGTCTGTAATCATATTTCTCTCAACCAGGAAACCAGCCAACTGTTCTGGAATCAGCTGAGGCCTTTCATCCTGGAAAAAATAAATGGGAAAGTTTACCACCTATGCCTACTCCACGATGTGCTTGCTCCACTATTGTGGTAAAAAACTGCCTTCTAGCGGTAGGTGGAGTGAATCAGGGTTTGAGTGATGCCGTAGAAGCATTATGTGTCTCTGATTCCTAGCAGGCATGTCATTGGATGCTCACCATTCATAGTGATCTACAGACCAAGAAATAGCTCTGTAGCTTTAAAGCTGGGCCAGTGTCTTCAGTATGTGAAAAGTTGACACTTTTCCTTCACCAACTCAAAGCAGCACTGCCTTGCTTTCCTCTAATTCCTTTCATAGTGTCCTTTGGAAACAACAAATTCTCGCTCCATGTAACTACACAGTCTTGTGGTTCTGTCATCTGGCAGAAGCTCTTTCCTATAATGATGTCATCATCTCTGCAAGCATTACGGAGCACCACTGACTCATGAATTTATAGGACATTCCCACTGTCAACTCTGAATGGCCGGAAATCAGGCCAGTTTTGTAATGGAGCAGTCAAGGTTCATAGCCTGACATGAAGTTTCATCCAAGGATGAGGAAGCATATCATCTAGGACTATGAGAAGATTTTGCCTTCCTCTGAAATATCATGTACTAGTCACAGCTATTGAACAAAATCGTTAAGATTCTGTGCTGAGCTTTTCCAAGTACTTTTTGAAGAATAACAATGGAAACAAAGAAGGGAATCCCACAGAGCTAGAGTGCAATGTGCCCCAGCATTCCTGAGCTCTTTGGAATAGTGCCATTATGATAATGAACTTACTGTTTTTCTGTGGGAATCTTGAAGAGTTCGTAGTCTTCAAAATTCCCCACTGTGATATTGCCATATAGGGATTCAAAGCATCTTGTATGAATGTCTTCCCAATCATGCAGCTTATGATCTTGAAGTCACATCAATTTGTGTGAGAGCAACAAACATATTACCTTGATTAGTAATATATTCTATCATTAGAATGGCAGAATTGTTCTGTCCAAAGACCTGAAAACAAAAGGTGAAGAATCAAATTCAGGAGAAAAATGCCTCTGTCCCAGGAACCAAGGTATTACTCCCTTCAATGATCCTCCCTCCATCCCTTCCTCTTTGTTTGTGTGTGTGTCTCTGTATATGTGTGTGTATCTTTCACACATTCTCCAACCCCACAATTGGTTCCATCCAAGGTACACAAAGTGTGGTTGAGTTTAATATAATTGATGTCTGAGTAGCAGGGAAGTTATGGACTTGGCTCATAGCCACTTTCACATGTCCCATGGCAACAGCAACACTTGGGTGCAGTCTTGCTTGTCTTTTTTTTTTTAACCTGTTTCATGCATTGTTTATCTTCATTAACCTGCAGGGTGAAATGGTCAGTTTCACCCAAGTGCACAATTGATCAGTTCTGGTTAGTTATTAACAAGTAACACAATTAAAATCAATGTTCATATTGTAACTTGAATAACTCCTATAGGCAGTTAGTGTTCTGTTCTTATACAGAGAAAAGAGAGAGACCAAAGTTTACAAGAATACTATTCTTAGTATTGATTTAGCTACTATAGAGCAATCATACACATACACTAAGGGTTTTTCTGCACTGCAATCTTAAGCTGCTTAGCTCTTCTGTACATACTGCCTGGAAATGAAGCAGGCTTAAGAAATCCATTTCCAAATTTCGACTTTTTGTCCTCTTTGGTTATAATGATGACCAGGTGTCTCATTTGGATTGTAGTTACCACTAGTCCTGATTGGTGGATTCCTACCTTCTTTATCCCTTCTCCCATTCCAGGAACATACATGCAAATTGCTTTCTGCATTGTGGGCAACAGAATTTAAGGTTATGTAGTTTCTACTGATGGACCTCTTCTATGAGCGCCCCACCCTCATTGACTCCCCCTCATTTTCCTATCTGGTGCATTACATTTTTATCATTCCTGCTTCACTTGGCTGCAAGGGAAAACTTGTCAAGTTCAACAGATTATGTAAGGGGGGAAAATGGTCACATTTCACCATTCTGCCTGTGAAATTGCAAAAAAAAAAAAAAGTGAAATGAAGAAAAGAAACAGAAATTCACCATTCTGGTCCCTGTAGGAGGAGGCGGCAGGGTGAGCAGCCCAGGATAAAATGGCAGTGACAGGAAGTGGCATTCCTACCATAGTGTACGGTAGATGAGTGGAATGGGCAGATATAACTACACTGAAATCAAAGGTGTGGTTGAACAGAATGATACAAGTCAGAAAACATTACTTTTAAGTATTGAGAAGAGGCTCTGCATTTCTGCTCTGAAGAAACAGCCAGTGGCTTATATTGATGGGAATTAGCTCTGCAAATTGGTTTCAGTCCATGCTCCCAACATGTGATCTGTAAAGAAATCTTCAAGTCATATTGCTACCCCCACAGTGAAGGCCTAAAAGAAGCTTTGGATTGGTTGATATAATCATTAGAGATTGAGCATGACTCAAGAGAGATTTTATCTTTTTAATGGATGTGCATGTTATCCTGGAAGGATGTCCTGTCCTCAGATCAGCAAACACGAAGACAGAAATATCAGCATTTTTCAGCCAGCTATTTTTGACTATCTTAGGACACTGGCTTCTTAATTATGAATTAAGAAGCTTGATAGTACTATTTTGCATTTTAAATTTTAGATGATTTTAAAAAATTCTATCTATCCACACAGCTCTCTCCAGGGTAGTGCTCTGGCTAGCCCAGTTTCCATCAGGTACCGGTAACTAAATCAGCCAGACTGTAAAAACAGATGACAACAAAATAAAAAGCACATAGGAATGGAAACCACAAGCCAAAATTCTTGCATGAAATCAGTGCTGGTGAAGAGACTAAGACTTTGAAAAAAGAAAAGCTCTTTGAATGGTATCAAAAACATAAAAATTGGGATGCCAGGTGAATTTGTCTCGGAAGAACATCCAACTGAGAGACGCAATAGTTGAAAAGCCATAGTGTTTCCCTGCCATCCATTTCATTTCCAGAAACTAGGGACTTTCAGAAGAGGTTATCTCTGTGTCCAGACTGGCTCCCTCATGTGGGATTATATAATCCTTCAAATACTTGGGTTTGAAGCGATGCAGGTTGTTAAAAGCATCCGATTTGGAATTACACTGGATCAAAAGCATGATTTTCAAGATTTGTTTATTATTTTGAATGTATGCCCCACTTTCTGTTATGGTAACAAAGAGAAACCTTGGAGAGCAGTGAGCACTATTTCCATCAGGTAACTAAATTAACCAGTCTGACAAATATCAAGCAGCTGCTTTGAGAGGCTTAAAAAGCAATTCAATGGCCCAACATCAACATCCAGGAGACTTCAATTATGTCTGGCTAATATAAGCAGTCTGTGCAGCTTTTTGACCCAAGATACTTTCCAGGCATACTACATAAAATTTGCAAATTAGCAAGACATGAGAGAGCACATAATAAGCACTTAAAAATTTGGAAGCCTGTCCTTTTTTTATAACATCTTTCTGTGATGCACAGGGAACAAACAAGAGTGCACAGGGAACAAAACTAGATTTTGTTAACAGAGTGCACAGGGAACAAAACTAGATTAAAAGAAAGCATATCACGGACCAACTCTGTTCCAGCAAAACTGGTCTGATTTTATGTGCATTGTTAAATATAAGTTTAAATTTGTGCGGGAATAAATGGGGTTTGCTTGCTTTATCTGGTTTGTGGACAGGGTATTAAAAGGGCTCCAGAAATATCCAGAGGACCACTAGAAGCAAACATTAAAAAGAATGCTTGGATATGTTCCTTAATTAGTCAGACTCAATTAAGGAATGTATCCATGCATTTTACTTTGTAACAGTACTGGAGTGAATTGCCACTACTGTACCTTCTTCAAGGGCATTATTTTTCAGTTTCTCAGACTATTTTAAAATTCCTTGATGATTGCCTATCCTAATCCTGCTTTAGGTTCAAAGCCCAGAGAAGATTATCAAAGTGCTGCTATACAAGAGTGAGCATAGCTTACGGCAGGGGTCTGCAACCTTGACAACTTTAAGACTTGTGGACTTCAGCTCCCAGAATTCCTCAGCCAGCATAGTCCACAAGTCTTTGTGTCCAGACTAGCTTAAGTCCACAAATCTTAAAGTTGTCAAGATTGCAGACGCCTGGCTTACAGCAAAGTTAAAAAACTATACATCTTCTAATTGTAATGCTGGTATCAGAACACCTCTTTTAATTTTCTTAGGCAATAGTAGTTGGTCTTATGCAACTGCACGTGTAGAAGCCTCTTGGCCTGACAGAGTTGCAATTTCAGCCTGCATTTAGCAAAACATTTTGGGAATGAATGAAGACACAAGAAATTGCATGGCAGCTTGAGTATAGTGCAGTGATGGTGAACCTTTTAGAGATCGAGTGCCCAAAAACTGGCCCCGCCCCACTCCTGCTCTGCCCCCCATTCCCCACCCCACCTGCCCACAGGACCACTCACTGCCTCCAGGGCCCACCGCAGATTGCCAAGGCAGCCCAGCAGCGCTATGGCGGCCACACCCTCTGCTCGTGCCCTGCAGCATCAATTGCATGATGGAGTGTGAGGGCAGAGTCTTGACTATGCTGCCTGGCTGCCATGTCCTTGGCTGTGCTGCTCTGTGTGGGCCATGCTCGAGGGCGAGTCTCCTTCAGAGGGGCTGCTGGAGAGGAGGGGGTCAGGAGAGGCAAGGCTGGGGCAACGGCACGTGTGCCCACAGAGAGGGGTCCGAGTGCCGCCTCTGGCACCTGTGCCATAGGTTCGCCACCACTGGTATAGTGTAAACTTGCTGCTTTGGGACTGTGGTTGCTTTATTCTTCTTTCCAACTGGCAAGGGCTGTAACAAGTGCTCAGGATGGAGTACACAAAGGCAGACTTTCCTCTGGCAAGTGGGTGGTGGAACCATCTGTGAGAATCTTCTCTGCCAATAAAGAGCTGGCAGCATCTGCAGATGATGCAAATACTAGTAGGGAAGCCTCTGAAAAGTCTCTTTCCTGCTGTGAATCTTTTGCAACCCACACATCAGACCGAGGGAGTTAAAAAAATAGATATCCTTAGCTTAAAGAAGGAATATTAAAGCTGCTTAACACACAAACACATCAGCAAAAAAAGAAAGGTCCATCTGACAACACTTCCAGGCTAGGAATTCCTCTGCGATCATTTGCCAAGATTTAATTGACAGTGATTTCTAGTTATAGCATTCCCATATTTTCCAACTGTTGCCTTCATCTTTTTTCTCTTATACAAAAATCCATTACACATGCAAGGACAGAATAATGTTGCAATGTGCTTTGTACTCATATTCCAAAAGCTGTCTAGAAGCACTGCAGATGTTATGTGTTTCTTGTGGCAAGCATACAGATGTTGGGAAATCTACCAATTACCACAGTCTGTCAGTGGCGGAACTTCTCAATGGCTCAATTAGCATAAGTCTTATTATGAGACATATTATAAATCAACGTGTTTCTTTTTTTAAAAAAAAAACGTGTTTCTTATAAGCACAATTGAATCAACATGTATCTAATGGCCTCAAAGAAGAAATGTAACAAAAATCTTCACCTATTTTGGAAACAATAAATTAAAACAAAATTTGAACTGGGGAAAATCAGAAAAATATTTTTTAAAATTATTTTCATATATGCGAAAGATTTTAGAATGCTTCAATACAAGGCCTTATCTGAACCCTTCAAGTCTTCTATAAGACCAATCATATTTTCCTAATTTAACATGCATCTTTTTAGAATATAGTTCCATATAATACATTTGAAATCATATTAATCAAATGTATATATTTTCATAGAATACAACATATAGTGGTCCCTTCTCACCATAAGCATTCTTTCTGAAGTTTTCTTCTGAAAACATTGAACATTACAATGTTGATATATTGATATATTCAGTGATCTACTTCTAAGACAGATAACTGTGAGAATAGATTTAGAGAGGATATAATAAATAAAAGAATTCTTAGATGACAACAATATGAGTTGCAAAGATGATTGGAAAACAAAAGGATCAGTTGCAAATAGCATAAATGAAATTCAGAATGAGATGAAAGGATATAGACAATGACTACCAAGTATCCTAAATCAGGGGTCCCCAACCTGTGGGCCGTGGCCCATTACTGGGCTGCGGCCACTTGGCCACCGGGCCCCGTGAAGGGATGGCCAGTGCACGCTCACACCTGCATGCACTCACACCCCCACACTCGTGCTAGCGGTGAGCATCCTGCTGGCGTAAGCGTCACCCCACCCCCAAGCGTTTGCTGGTGCTAACACTGCCCCATCACCCGCGCATCCCGTTGCCGATGCTAGCATCATCCCACCCCCTCAGGTCCACAGAAAACTCTCTACGGAACCGGTCCCTGGTGATCAAAAGGTTGGAGACCTCTGTCCTAAATAACACTGGAGCCCTGCTAAGTAGATCTTTCACTATTTCAAGCTAAAGTTACTATACATTAAGCAACAAAA